ATATATATATATATATATATATATATATATATATATATATATATATATGTCCAAACTTAGCAACAGTACCTGACAAAGGTATTGTTCATGGGTTATCTTACCTAGGTTAGTCTACTCATGATCACCGCCTCAGCTTGTTCTTCTCTTTTTTTCCATCGCCTCACTTCCCGATCCTTCTACCGTCTCATCTTTGAACTTCCCCACCGACTCTCTCACCCAATATTTGTTTCCACCGCTTCTCTTCACCTAATCGGGTGTTCATCGGGTTACTGTCTACCATGGTCACCACCTCCACCGCTTAGTTCCTATGTACGATCCATCTTCTCTCTTCTAATCTCCCTCTACCCGTTACCATCTCTAAATAGGTGCAGCAATAACAGGTCAGAGAGGAAAACGAAGGAATCGCCAAAGTAGTCGGCGTCTGGTCGTGTCGATTCCTGTCGCCGCCGACATAAAGGCTTTTGGGTATCGGTTGTCGCCGCCAACATAAAGGCTTTTGGGTATCAGCTATTTTAGGTACATATTTTCTTCAAGGTCTACTGTTATATCACTTCTTCTCCCGTCGTTCCTCCCATATGTGACAAATTTCTTGAATTCGTTTGTTAATGAGTTGTATTTACAGATACCCATATAAAGTCGAATTAAAGGTAGCATCAAAAGAAAATACACTTTATAGTGGTACTTGGCAATTTCATATATCCAAAACATTATATCAAAGACTATTAATATCTCTAAATTCAAACCTACGGTTTGTAACATGAACCTTCCTCTCCTCCATTTTATTGATTATAAATTGAGAATCCCTACCACCAATAAAACAATTGAGATTTCTTTGGCAATTCTTGTAATCAACAACCGATACACCTCTATTTGAATATCCACCTTGAAGAGAACTCATTAACCGATATGTCATTGTTGCTCATATATTTTTCTTTGACATATTGTATATGAAACTTTGTTGAGTCGTATCAAGTTTTCTACTTGTACACGACAAATACGTGTTTTTCTTACTAATCAACTTGTGATTATGCATCACTTTAAACTCCTGCACAAAGTATTTGTATAATTTTAAATACAATGCGGGCTACGCATTCGGTCCTATATAAATCTGACCGTCTCTTTATTTTCTTCTTTTGTATATATTGATAGTATCAACTTGAGAAGTGTGAGACTATTCTTGTCTATTACACAACAAGTAGTGTTAGGTGCATAAAATGCACCTTTTTATATGTTCATTTCATGTTTAATTCAAGTATTGCATAGTATTTAGTTTAACTTTGCATGCATTTTGCATTTATGAGACATTTTCGAGGATCAATCTACTTTTGATAATTTTTGTGGATGTTTCAGGGGCATTTGAGAATTTGGGCATGCTTAGGATGATAAAGGGAAGCTCTTTGCAAAAATTCAAAATTTTCGGAGCAAGATTAAAGAAAACGAGAAATTTGGAAGTAAACATCCATTTAGGAGATTCCATGGTCATGGAATGGTTAACACTGTCCATTCCACGATCGTGGAATGGAGTTCTCAGTAAGCTAATTTCTAATTCCACGGGAAAGGAATCTCAAGGCAAACCATTCCACGGTCATGGAATGTGATCTGACAGTTTTTTGGATTTTTAAGTTCCGATTAAAAGAGGATTTGGTTATTTTGAACACAACTTCAGCCAAGAACTTGCAAGGGGCGATTTTCACATATCTTATCATAAATTAACACATTGGAAACACTATTTCTTTGATTTTGTAAGTTTGTTTAAAGATTAAAACTTGTTGAGTTTGTGTTCTAAGTTAGTCATTTGTGGCTAACTTTTCTTATCATTTCCGGTTCTAGATTCCTAGTTACTTGTTGTTTAGATTGTGATATGTACTAGATTCTATATTTCTATATAGTAATCTTTGATTTAGTTTGTGACATCCCCAATTTCACGGCCAGAAAAGACCGATTTCGTTTATGCTTTTTAAAATAAAATCAGAG